AGGTATAGTTACCTTTGTTCATTAATAATGGTTATGGTGTGGACCTTGGAAATATTAGTAAATACATTGTATTATGATAGTGTCAGTTCAGTTAATTTGAATCCCGATCTGAAGATTGTATTTTGGTGCACTGAGAGCAACAGTGAAAATTTTCTGGCAAGTGGTGAAACACACCAGATGGTATTTTCAGCATAAACTGTGGGAAGTCAGTAGGATTTGAGGTTTTCACAGCAGTGAGCCTGAAGTCAAAAGTCAGATGAGACAAGGGAAGAAGATAAAACAGTAATTCCTTGACAGCCATAATTTGAGTGTTCATCATTAATAATATGTATACTGTTAAACGAACAGGAGTATCTAATCATGAATATTCAGTGCTTTCATAACGGTTTTCACCTAATTCTGCCATAGATCTCTGTTTACGTCATTTAAGTCATCTGCAGTACAACCTGAGACTCCACTATTGTCATTTTCACTCATCCACCAATATATTATTCATGTATAGTTCTTTGCATTTTTATACAATAAAAGTACAACATACTAGGTGATATTCCAGATTCTCATGGAGATGAATATCAAGGTGACTGTTTTCTGGGATGTTGCACCCTGTAGTCTAGTAGATATTTACTTATGTTTCAGAGGAGGTTATGACCTCCATCATGGCAATTCCTCTGAAACATCAATATCTACTAGACTGCACAGTGCAGAATACAGCCATCTTCATACATCATACTTATTTTTCACCTGGAAATCTACATCATGGAACTTTATGTATATCTCTGAAGAACTGCTCCCCACACCCTCCCCATTTTCCCACTGGCCTTAGCCCTGGTGTTGGTGTGAAGGGCTGCTGTATTTCTGATGTGTTTAATTACCAGATTTCAAAGAATGATGAAAGTGGTGGCATTAAGGTGTAAAGAGGGGGAGGTTATGGATGGAATTTACAGACATTTTTATTTGTTGAAGAAGAAAATGAATGGATATGAAGAGAATGAAGAAAAACAATAAGAAGAGTTAAAAATTGAAGGAAAAAATTTAATTCTTGGATAATCATTATAACTACAAAAGATTTGTAATCTAGATACATTTCAAGTGTCTGTTTAAGTTTTAAATTCAGTTGCCTCATTGATATTGATGAAACAAAACACGTTCGAAGAACTGAATCTGATCAAAAACGAAATTATGTTACTCTTCCATGTTTTGTACACAGGTGGCAGTTTACAGTTTAAAATTAGTCTGATGGGTATGCCACACTTTATTATTTATATTTACTTTCAATTTAGAAAATACCATGTAGAAGACATAGATATAGATGGGAGAACAGTATTAACATGTATCAATGAAATAAGGTGAGAGTGTGGACTAGATTCATCTGACCCAGGACAGGGACCAGTAGCAGGCTATTTAACATGGTAATGAACCTTTGTTTCCCATAAAAGGTTGGACTTTCTTGGATAACTAAGTCATTATTATGTAAGATTTACAACCCAGAAGACAAAAATCTTCATAAGTCATTATTAGTTCTGCAAAATTGACTCTGCTCCTTGGAGTTTGTTTGTTAGTTTAGTTGGAGTTTATTACTGCAGAAATAAGAGCTAAGAAAGCTGAATGCAGTGGATGTCTGCCAAGATAATGCAGAGAAACCTCTACTGTGTCTTTCTTTATATCCTGTAGACAGAAAACTGCACAAGGGTTTGTTATCCCAGGCATAGCAGCTTCACCACCAAAGTTTGTGACTTTGGAAGAAATTATGACAGCAGCCAATGGTATGAATAACATGGCACTTGCTCATGAGATTGCTGTTGAGAAGGATTTCAAATTACAGAAAGTTGATCCTCCAGATAACAGGTATGGTATAATTCTGTAAGGGGATGGGATTTGTATGGGTCTTATTTATAAATCATTTATGATTTATACATTATTTTTGTATATTAATTTAAGTGTGAATCTATGTTTGATAATAATAAAATTCAGAAGAATACACAAAGACTTGGTCTATTATTAAACTTTTCTGGATATACTGTCATACAGACTTGAATTTTGTATCATCATGTCAAGGATTCATTCTAAAAGAATTCAGTTCTATTCTGAATTTTGTTTTTATTCTGGAGCCCCAGTGCACCCAATAAGAAACTGGATAGCGCTGCAATCACCTATTTAGTCAATCACATCACTCACCTCCCACTGAAGTTTCACAGATGTTTGTCCTGAAGATGGCATCTGCAGTGTTTTTTTGAAATGTTGGAACTTTTTTAATACTTGATGCAGATTGTCCATGAAAATTAAAGTTACACATTAAACTCTAGCCCAGTGGTCCCCAACCTTTTTGTGCCTACGGGCACATTTGAGAGTTTATGAGATCGTGGCAGGCACCAACCAATTAACAAAGCCATTTTTTTTTCTCTGGACAAATAAGATATGGACACCAAATAATATGCAAAACAACACGACGTTTAATGATACAAGAAACCATGCGATCAAAAATACGTAGTTTTATAACTATAATTATTATTACTCAAGTGGGAAGTTAGTGTGATGCTTGGCGCTGCATTTCATTGGCCAGTTTTTCAAATTTGGGAGTGTAGGATGATGTTGCTGCTCGCAAACAATCGTCAAGATCTGTGCTTTGATTTTATAATGTTCGTGGTTGAACGGCCTTCATTATTCAGTATAACCTCTTTCCGTAACAACGCGGGCACCCAAAAAAAGCCTTGTTGGGCGCCATGGCACCGCGGGCACTGCGTTGGAGACCACTGCTCTAGCTATTAGAACCTAAGGACAAATATATTTTGTAATTTCAGACAATGATATATGCTGAATTGTTTTCCCTCTAATATTCAGAAGTCTTGGTCCCCGTGAAAACACTGTGGAAAATGTGTCACTGTATTTAGTCTTAGGTTTGTTGATATTTGGTGGGATGTGTTTCAGGGTACTGCCCAGTAAACCATACTTATGGTACAAATATTGAAACTGTAATTGAGTCAACAAAGAAGAATCTCTCAAGTAATTTTATTAATGTAATTTTGCTCAACAGCATTCACAAACTGGTTAAGGAGACATTGCATAGAGCTTTTTGGGAGAAACTGGATGCAGAACTGAAGGAAGTGCCTCCAAATTTTACACAAGCAATGGTTTTATTGGAAGATGTAAAAGAGGTAATGTTTGTCCAAAATGTTTATGTAAATTTGGTATTCATATCTTTTTATCCCCTTTTACACTGCATTGGTTCAGTTATTCTATTAGTTTGCAGTGTTTGGTGAAGTACTTACTAAGCAGAGGAATAACATAAAGAGTTACAAAACTGCTTTATGTGGGCTGTCTGACAACCATGCCTCTGTCTCTTCCCATAACTTTTTCACCATCTCAGTTGCTTTCAATGATATTCCTTCCATGTGATATCTCTTAACCTGTTGTTCCCATCTCGATCTTTGTCATCCTCTGGGGCATTTTCTTTTATTTTTGTGTTCAATACCTTCTTTGGGGATTCTGTCTTCGGTTATTCTTAAAATGTGCCAGTGCTATCTTGTTCCATTTTCTGTTAATTTGCCTTCCAAGGTGTTTATACCTCTATTTGTTCATTTCTTATTATCTCTCTGTTGATTTTCCCAGCAACACTTAAAAATCTCATCTCTGCTGCTGTTAGTCTTACCATATACTTATTCCCAGCAGCGAGCGCGGAACAAAGGATCAGACTAGTTACCAGGCATCCCTGCTAATAAGAGCAGATATTGTTCTCGAAACATTGGCAGAAGATACGGTTTATTCACCATTTAGCCATCTGATACGACTTGTAACCAAGGAGTCTTTCATAAACTTCTGTTGCCGCGAAATCTTCACTTTATACATCATATACTTATTTGTTTCCAGAACTTCATGTTACTGCTTTTGCCCTACCAGACAAAATTAAAAGAACATATTTTGGAGATACTGGATGCAGATCTTATCAGACAGCAAGCTGAAAAGGGGATTCTTGACTTCCAGGTATGTGATGAGACTTGGTTATTATTATTTATCTGAAACTGCTACCCATCCATTTTCTGTGATATTTATCTCTTGTCATGTCATGTGCTTATTTTTATAAAGTTTTGTTGATTTTCATTGCTAAATAGTGTGTATTTAGTGAAGTTTATTGTTTGGTGTCTAACAAAATAGGTGATTTTTTTTACTTAAACTCAACTCGAGAATTTTAATATTGTTTGGTTCGAACTTGAGTCGCCTTAAAAAACCCTGTTCGCACATCACTTGTTTTGTTTTGGTGCCGGTATGTAAAGATGTTCTGTGTGCAAGCTACCTCTACATTTTATTTGATTCCAGCACTATGCTCAGTATGTGATATCTTTAATGGGGAAGTTGTGTGCTCCAATTAGAGATGAGAAAGTCAGCGAACTCACTCAGATTCAAGGAGTTGTGCCAATGTTTAAAGGAATACTGGAAGTAAGTTACATGCAAAAGAAACTCATGAAAAACTTGATATATAAGTACACACAGAGGAACTTCAGTAGAAATCAGCCCAAGGATATGTATTTGACCCAGTCACACAAATTAACACAAGCACTGACATTTTATCAGGTGATCAGCCGCATGAGAATATCTCCAAAACATTGTAAATGAATTCCATTCACACATGACTGATCACCCAAGAAGACGTCATTGCATTCAATCAATGTGAAAACTTCAAATCATGTAAAGTAATGCAATGTTTGAGGCATGACCTCATTTAGCCAACAGGTGCTGGATGCCTCCTGGTAAAATAAGTCCTATGAATGTAAGATTTGAGGTTTTCACAGCGGTGAGTATGAAGATTTCTGTTTTATGGGTTGCGCTGTGTAGTCTGGTCGATGTTAACCAGACTACACAGCGCAACAACTCAGAAGACAGAAATCTCCGAGTCCTATGAAGCTTGTTGTCAATGCTATGTACTTGTTTCTTTATAAAATTAAAATTTATGAATTTATATCATACAGTTGTATTTGGAACATTTATATCAACAGGTCTGATAGCATTAGGTTGCAGTAAATTGATATAGTGAGGCAAGGGGTTTGTGTATACAAGAGTTGAACATTTTCATGGCACCAGAAATGTGGATTGTGGTGCCATATAGCCTTGTAGGTGGTTACCGGTGTTTCAGTAGAATATATCACTGATAACCACCTGCATGACAACACAGTGTCACAACTCAGAAGACCACAATCCACAAAGGTCAGTACTGTAAGCATTCACTACTGCACAGATGAGACACTTGCCACTTGAATGTTAGTCGAGTCCCACAGGTTAGTGGTGCCACATCACTGAACTGATGCTGTCTGTGTGCAGTTTGTAATTGGAATTCATACAATTACTGTTTTGTACTTTTGATATGTAATTTCAGATTTAGCTAAATTGGTATACTGTATTAATCTGTTTCAGCGTTTTTGTAATTTGTTTATACTGAACAAAAATCTTTTCCGTTCCTCATAGACATTGGATATTATGAAGTTGGATATGGCAAATTTCACCATCAACGTGCTTCGGCCAGACATCATAGCGATAAGTGTGGATTATGAGAAGAATAAATTTGCAGAGTTTCTTAAAATTCAGACAGGTCAGTTTTGCTTTTCTCAGACTCTGGCATAATTGTTAATAGAGAACAATGAGAATTTATGAAATTTTTAAAATGTTTATTCTGCACTTTTTAGCATTTATGGGAAAAGTTCCGTTATTGAAAACACCTTTCTTGAGTCTTCTGTTTGCAGTAATATAAAACTCCTGATTTGTTCTTGTAATGTAAGTACATTTTCTTGGGGTTTCATGAATAAAATTAAATGATATGCTTAAAAATGTTAGTTTTCGCATATCCATATATATAAAATGTGAATTCTTTCTGGGGATACAAAAAATCTGAAATTATATTTAGGTTTTTATAATTAGTTAATATTTATGTTTGTAGATGGTTTGCAGTATACTCGAAAGTGGTTACTGCAGCATCTGATGAATGCAAGAAATTATGATGTAATAGTCAGTGAGGACAAGATTGCAATTCATAATCTCACAGCATGTATATTGGAAGAAGCTTATCTGGAACTGCTAGAATGGGATGACTTGAATCCATATCCTGAGGTACCACAAGTAGCATTGACTTTAGAATATTTGTCAGTTTCTGCAGAGTGTAATATTTGGACTGAAGAAGACACAAAACTACAAAATGAGAAATATAATTGGCAATATCATGTATCTTCTTATTTGAGCATTGTTTTAATTTTATACAGGTTGATGAATGAAAGTCTGTAATCTTCTCTTCTTTTCTGTTTCTTACCAGCTGTTTCTTTCTGTTCTTGATATCTTTTAGTGTTTGGCTGAACCATCTTGTTCAGGGTCATCCCATGGGTTTCCTTCCTTTAAATCTTAATCCTAATGCACTTTCCAGTACCCTTATTCTCCCTTATTCTATCCATTATTTTACATGGCCATACAGTTGTAGAAGTTTCATTGTTATAACATTCTTCATTCCATCTTCATCCAGAATCATCTGGGTTAGTAAACTACATAAACATGAGTATGCTCTGGCACCCTTGTTGTGTTGAGGTTTATAAGGTCAAGAAATTAGCTTCTTTTAAGGAATCGATAGGTTCTTTATTGTGTTTACAAAGTTTTGTCACTGGATCCTATATTGAACCAGTTTGGTCCTTTCCCACCTAACCCTGTTTCTCTGAGACCTTCAGTATTATTCTTCCATATATACCTAGGTCTTCTCCTAAGTGGTTTCTTCTTTTGAGGTTTCTTGACCAAAATTGTGTATGCATTTTTCACTTTCCATAAGTATGTTACATGTCTCACCCATCTGATACATAAGGCAAGAGATTTTATTGCATAAATTATTTTTAGTCCAAGTTTGAATTTTGTATGTTTATGTGCAATAAATAATTCTTTCCAGACTCTTATGATGGATCAGGCCCGTTTCACTGACTTAGGGAACAGGTTTTATCATTTGGTTGTCATAGGATCAGTCCTGCTGGTTACTGCTGGTACAGCACAGTCTCTCCAAGGAGTTGCTGCTTTCAAAAATAAACTCAAACAACATATAACTGTACTATTGGAGAACATTTATACAAACAAGTGAGTAACATTACACATTACTGGAATGTTTTTTCCCTTTACATAATATTTCTTCTTCTTCTATGGCTCTCCAGTCCGTATTCGGTCCATGGCCTCCACAATTCTCCTCTTCCATTCGGTCCTCCGTTAGGTCCGTCTGTCTGAGGTTGAGGTTTCGAAACATCTTCCTTTTTACGGTGCAAGGTTGTTAGCCCTGCGACCAACCCCAACCTGGAGGACCAGGGTACCTGTCTTAGTCTGACCTCTCCTCCTCGACCAATCTGGCTAGGGAGGCCCTACCAGTAGCTATGCTACCGCCAGCATAGCTCTTGGGGTCACTGAGGCACTCAAGCCCCACCACCACGACAAGGTGCAGGTACCATTAAGTGCGGTTAAATAATATTTACTGTGCAAGAAATAGTCTGCTGACATAAATACCAGTGTTATCTGCTGTAAATATGGCGAGACCTCTAGAGATTATTATAATATTCAATTTAAAGAATATCAAAGGAAAATTAAGGAGACATGTCAGAACAAGGTTCTGCATACATATTTTATCGTTCCTTTGTTGCACAGAAGTATCCTCTGGTATGTAAGTTGATAGCTTTAAGTACTTAGGTAGTCATATAGTGGCTTGCAGAAGTGTTATAGAATAAATTACAGAAAGATTAAAGAATGCAGACAAAATTTTATCAGGTAGTGAGAGACATACTCTGTAAATGCCCAAAGAAGTGTAAAATATGCCTATTTGGAGGGTGCTGCATGTCAGTATTAATACATAGAGCAGGAACTTGGACATGGACCAAGGCAGACTAGCAGATTAATGGCAGCAGAGGTGAGATTTTTAAGGAGCAGAGAGGAAAATCTGAAACACAATAAGAAATGAAAAAATTATATAAGTGCCTTGGAAGGCAGGTTAATAAGTGACAGCAGTAAGATAGTATGGATGAACAAAGAATGTATTAGAAGAAGGTTTGTAACAGTAAAGTAAAAGGAAAATACCCAAGTGGGAGACCAAGATCAAGATGGGAACATTGTGTTAGTAAAGATGTCTCATGGAGGAAGAATAAATTGTGCAGCAGCAGCAGCTGTGGGATAACACAGATGAAGAGTCTTAGGAGGAGGTGGATGAGGAAGAAGAATGTAAACCAGTTGCAGACATATTTCTTTCCTGTGAGTTAAATTGGTCTTAAAGGAACAGAAGGTGAGGGTGTCGAGTAGATTCATGTATAACTCAGGATAGGAAATGGTGACAGACTCTTCTGAGCACAATAATGCACCTTTGGGTTCTATGAAAGGCTGGGAATTTCTGGACTAGCCAAGTAACTGCTAGCTTCTTTAAGAAAAACTCTGCTTGTGGAGTTAGTTATCTGTTGTACTTTCAGGGACCTAGAAAAAATAATGCCCAACATTGCTGAACAAGTTATCATGGAGGTAGCTGAAGGTTTGGAGACGTATGGATTCAAGCCACTTGATTCTACATCAGAAAAGCTGCTCAAGGGGCAAATTGTGGAAATTGTCAAGGATGATCATAAGATAAGAGAGCTTGTTCGTAAGTTAACTTGATTGAAATTTTCTTCCTCTTGCTGGCTGCTATAGTACACTTTTATTTGCTTTCAGTGATTATATCTCTCACTCTATCTCTTTCTCTCCCTCCCCTCCCAAATCTGAAATTTACTTGCGTAGGTGTGAGAGTACGAGAATTTATTCAGCAGACTATCTCATTATCAAGAGCAGTCCCCTTGCGCGTTCCACCTGGACTGTCGTCACTTCAGACAGAGTTGGCAGCTGTTTCAGGGCAGTTTCTTCGCCTTGTCTCCCACAACCGTGCTGTGTTTGGTGAATATTACGCTGACATTATTGCAAATGGTGTCTCGGCATCAGCATCAGCATCAGCATCTGTAAATGAATGAATAGTAATTGCTGACTGTCGAGTTTAATGTAAGGTAAGAAATGTGAAAGGAAAATTTGCATTTTCCTAAATGGGTAATTAAATTGATTAAATTATTGTTGTTGTTTTATCTCCTGTGTTATTACAGCTGTCTATACAGTAATATGGGTACTCTGTAAAATAATTTTAAACATGATTGCTTCCTTTGAAGGAAGAACATAAATTATAGGTGTTTGGAAATAGAATGATCTGGAGAAAATTCGGATCGAACAAATATGAAGTGAGTAGTTTAGGATATTACCAACTTTGTGATCCAGATGGATGGATGTAGTATTATGAAAATTGTGAAATCTAATAGACTACAGTGGGTCAGGCTTAATACTAAGGTAGCAGAGGCAGTTATGGTGGGGAAACATCTTGGAAAATATTTGCTTGGAAGACTGAACAAGAAACAGGAGGATAACATTAATATGGATCTGGAGGAGATAAATTATGAGGATTGGAGGTGGATGAAAGTGGCTTAAGATTGTGTCCAGTTGGTGTTAGTGGTGTTGTATATTTGGGTGCTGCTGCCATATTGTATAATATTGAATTGTGTATGTTACAATTTTTGCATTGTAGATTCTCCTGCAGGCATAGCAGTTCTTCAGCAAGCAGTGTTATGAAGATGGCAGGCAGATCTGCAGGATAAAGCTGCATTGGGATAATCCTGTTTTAGGATGACTGTCACTTAAAATCCTCGTGTACAAACAACACATGCTTATAGAAGAGTCAGAAGTAATGAAAGGAATCAGTAATAACCTATCAATGAGTCCTTGTGATTGGTTCATGTCTTAGAATTGGCCCTAATTTAAATATCTTACTTATGTAGCATAAATGACTTGGATATTATCCATTCTCATGAACAGTTCTGATCTTGAGACGAATTGTCATCATTATTCATCAAAGCCATTTTGTCAGATGGTGTGAAGTAATATGATTAATAAATATAAATTACGAGGGGCGTATACAAATGATTTAGACTAACCTGAATTATGTGATCCTTGATGGTGGTGGCTCCCAGATTACACTTCGGCCCGTTCCACATATTCTCCCTGGAGGTTGATGTCACAAAACCATTGTTTGGGCGTGTCTCGTACCCACTCCCTGTCAGCATCATGTAAGGCGTCACTATCGGGGAATCTGTGACCATGCAGGGGATCAGTTCCGACACTCTTTGAATCATTTGCGGAGTTCTTAATGTTCTTGGAAGACCACTGCTGGATCACTTTTCCACTGTTTCATCGTCACATGTGAAGCCTGTCACCCAATTGAAAACAGTTGCATGTGCAGTCACTGGGGTTCACCCTGTTCCCACACCCGCCCTATTCCCCCGACCTGCCCTCTTCCGTAAGATGAAGAATCCCCTGCGTGGTCACCGATTCCCCGATAGTGACGCCTTACATGATGCTGTCAGGGAGTGGGTACGAGACACCCCCAAACAATGGTTTAATGAGGCAATACGGAAATTGCCAGAGAGATGGCAATGGTGCTTCGACCTCCAGGGAGAATATGTGGAACAGGCCGAAGTGTAACCTGGGAGCCACCACCATCAAGGATCACATAATTCATGTTAGTCTAAATCATTTGTATACACCCCTCGTATGAAATAAAAACTTTAATTATGCACTACTTGTAAAAATGAAACAACATAAACTCTTGGATAGAAAAATAAATGTGATAATTTCTTCTAACAAGAAGCATTAATTAAACCATTGTAACAGAACATACATAACGTATTGTAATGTATCCACGTACACTGAAAGTTAGCTTCTCTTATAATCTGTTAGGTAATTGTTACTGTGCTTCTAATACAGCCAGAATTTGTTATGTGTTTGGCAAATAAGGTCTTCGCAGCGTCTGTGTCATATTATTTTTATTATACAGAGTAAAAGTAATTCTATTCTTTAACTTGCATTTAGTTTGCTAGAAAAGCCGTAGATTGAGGGGGGATACCAAATGGGCAGAGAAAATGCTCCTGCAAAAATAATGAGTGGTTCGCGTCAGAGAATTATGTAAAACCGTTTAAGTCACTTGAACCAAAACATTTTTTTTAAGTTTTTATAAAAATTAAAGTATACAATGAAATAAATAATTTTTATGTTTGTATATTCAGGTTTCTTCTAGAACATCTCAAACATTTGATTCGTTGTGTTTTTATATGTAGAATGAGAATCCTGGCTGAATATCCTCGAAGAAAAACGAACGTGACATTTAAACGTATGTAATGGAGATTTTGCGACCACGGATGTTATCGTCCCGTTTCCTGTTTACTGAATGAGTTTATACATTTTTATACAGTTAATTCAGTGCGGAACAAATAATAATTCAAGAAAGAAAAGTAAAATGAGGCAGGCAGAAGAAAGTCTTTATTTTTCATATTTTGTCTCAGTTAAGTTGCACGTGGATAAATTTTGTTTCCCCATTGCTTATGAAAATATGAGCTATTTTTGAAATGATTACGACTGATGGAAGCAGGGAATATTTTCTTCTCTTCCATCACTAAATATTAATTTAATAATATATGTTTATATAATTTAAATCTAATATTGTACATGAAAGATAGTTTCTTAAATGTGATATTTGTTATGAAATGTAGGTGAATATGTGAAAAGTCAGCAATAGGGTGTTCGTGGACAAAGTCCTTCTGGCAAACTGCGTATCAGAAGATTGTACATGGAAATTTTGAAACTTGTAAATTCTTCTTTTAAACATAACCCTGTTGAGTTTTTATACTATAAAAACTGATATACCACCTTGCTTAAATCAATGAGATATTTTTAAAAAAGCTGTGAAGTATATTTTTAAAGTGTTTATGAACATGCTGTGGATCAGTTGTGTTACAGAACTCTTCATAATCTTTATAAAGATTAAACTAATTTAATTTTTATTGAAAGGTTTTCTTATTCTTTTGTTTTAGTAACAATAAAGCAGTTGTACTTGCACATATAATTTGTGTTTTTCTTCTTCTTCTATGGCTCTCCGGTCCGTATTCGGTCCATGGCCTCCTCAATTCTCCTCTTCCATTCGGTCCTCCGTTAGGTCCGTCTGTCCGAGGCTTTGATTGAGGTTTCGAAACATCTTCCTTTTTACAGTGCAAGGTCGTTAGCCTTGCGACCAACCCCCAACCTGGAGGACCAGGGTACCTGTCTTAGTCTGCCCTCTCCCCCTCAACCAATCTGGCTAGGGAGGCCCTACCAGTAGCTATGCTACCGCCAGCATAGCTCTTGGGGTCACTGAGGTACTCAAGCCCCACCACCACGACAAGGTGCAGGTACCATTAAGTGGGGATTTATTTGTCTTCTTATTAACTGGAATGGGACTCGAATAACTGTCCGTCACATTATTATTTAAATAAAGGGAATTGTGTTTCATGTTTGTCAGTAGCAGTGCTTGTATCAAATTCCAGATAAATAACTTTATATGCAAAAGATTTGAATATAGCTCAGAATGATGTTATTTAGATAAATAAACTGTAGATATTTATTACAAAGATTGATTTAAATTTTATAAATTCAGGTGATCACCGATATCCAGAATAACTTACGGAAATTTCCTCACTAATTAAGGAAATGTCTGAAGAGAGTTCGTTTGTAATTTATTCTGTACATTACATTAATAAAGCAGTTTTAATCCAACAAAATAATTTTCCTGTCTATGTGAATGATGAAATTTTTAACAGTCTTGGTGGTGACGCTGCGATAAATTGTAGTTTTGTAAAGTAACTTATTCAAATGTTTGCATGTTTAAATACGTGGCTGGAAGACAAACGATTTTGAAGTGAACTACAACAAACATTCCACTAAATTAATGTATTCGTTACTTCGTTAATATACGTGTCTCAGTTATCTGTACACATCATAAGCTACCAGTGCAAGACTTCCGTTTATCAAGTCGTATTTCACGAAAGCAGAAATATAACGAATGTTGTTCTACTGTTCGCTTTTAAACGTTAATATTTTATGAACAGATTAATTAAAAGATAACATTTATATATACACGTGAGAAGTAAATTTCTAGGCACAATGATGTCATTAAAAATCTGGAATTGCTGTCTCAACTCGAGTTACGCCTTTTCAGGAAATTGCGTTAACAGGTTTGTGTCACTTTATTGCTCTAGAATTGTATTTGGTAGATACCTAGTTCGGCTCTCGACCAGATTATAATCAGCCTGTCCTAAGTGAAGCTTTTTCCATGATTTCCCGAAATCTCCCCAGGGGAATGTTGAAATGCATCTTAAAATAAACCACCATCACCTCTTACTAATGTTTTATCTACTTAGCATTTATCTTGCCGTCTCATTCTGTTCTATGCAACTTCTGCGATTGGTGAAGTGTCGTTGAATAACCTAAGAATCATTAAGTCGTGGAGAAGTGTACAAATGTACCGAAACGTCTGAAGAAAGAAAGTTGACTGGTCCAAATTGTAGCATTTACTGAGAACTTAAAAATTCTGAGTTAATAAATATATTGTCACGAATAAAATATTTACTCGTAAACAACTGGAATAGGACCAACGTATTTAACAAAATATTTATGGAAACAGAAACACTCGGTACAATACGATGCGTGGTTTGATTTTTTTAATTGCCGTGGTATAATTAAGATTAAGTAGTCTGATACCTGCATACAATCCTTTGGTCGAAAAACATGAAAATAAAAGACCACTTGGATGACCAGGGTGAAGATGGTAGGATATTATTAAAATGCCCGAGAGATTAGGTTTTCACGCTGGTGTAGATTTTGACTGTGGTGTTCTGGCTTGTGACACCAAGCAGTCTTGTAGGTAGTAGCAACATTTCGGAAGAACGAATGACAGAAATAAAAATGAAAGCAATATGTTGCTTCGTAATGTTAGTAACCAGCCACCTACAAGATTACACGGCGTCATAACCCGGAAGACCACAATCGACATAACATCGGATCTTAAATTATCTTAATGTGGTGTGCTCTGGAACCATGTGGTTTGTGACAGGGTCCAGTGACTGCAATGAAATTTCCGGTTCCATAAAAGATAGGCAATTTCGTGAGTAGCTGAGAGACCATTAGCTTTTAAATAAGGGCTGCAGAATGTAGTTGGACTATCCACTGACGTTACGGAAGTCGAACGTTTTCATCTTCTACGCGGACGTTTCCGCGTATGCGCGCTTCAGTAGGAAAATGTTTTTAATAAATTAAAATATTTTGATGTGAACTTGTTCGAGTTACCCGTATATGTGTAAATGATTTTTATATATTATTGCACTAAAATTTAACTTTTAAATTGCCAGAGAAGGTTACAAGAAATTGACAATTAAAATCAGTTCAGAAATCTAATCAATTTTTAACATTGTTTCTGTGGAAAACACGTTCTCTTTACGCATTACGCGGAGTTTTCGGGAACACAAATATCACGTAAACTGCAGCATAGCCTGCCTGTAGTAGTTTGGCATTGCATTTAACTTTTTGGCCGGCGCCATAAGATCAAACCTTCTTCAGATTGAAACACGTGTCCAGCCGACACCCTGCTGGGCTGTATTCACCCCAATCACAGTCTGGACCAGCTGTTACAATGAACATCCAATAACACCTTGAGTTATTACGAACATTATGGGTATAAGTGCAAGTATAATTTTCCAAATAGGCTATAATCCAGACTGACTTTTTCACTGATAGTTCCAAAATAAATCATAACTGTTTTATTTCCAATCCGTTGTTCATAATCAGCTTTACATTATGGGTCATATGCAGCTGATACAGTTTGTAACCTGTGTACGGTTAACATCTAAGTTTATAAATGTCCTATATTTTTTTACGTATAGTTTTCGAGGTATTTGCCATCAAATATTAAACTGAATGAATTACTGTATGAAAATGCACACCATTTTTATTCACAATTATCTAACTGTTATGACATTCGTTCTGTGGTGGGATACTTCCAGCATTTATGAATGCAAGCCTTGTCTTGCATTATGTGTATTAGTACGCTAATGGCATTAAACCACATACGCTTAACTGGCAGAAATAAATTGAATTATTTACACAGAGATGTGTAACGTGGTTGTGTACTTCAACAATAGTATCATCGTCATATACGAATTTAATTCACGTTTTTTCCTCTTTTTAAAAATAGTTTGCATTTTGTTTGTTGTTTTAAGGAGCCTTACGCCCATTATAAGTTAAATGCCAAATGATATTAAAAATTGAAACTTCAAACATAATGGATCAAGGGGGTAGAAACGAAAATTATGAAGCGGCTGGCATCAGAGAAAAACAGATGCAATTCAAGGTTGCAGCTGGATTTTAATCTCATTTCAGATGTAAAGTAAGGCTAGTGAATGTTAAAAACAAGCGAGCTCAGATCATTATTATGAGAAGGCTTGTCGCGTGCCATGTTAACTCACATCTGTTGTAAAGTTCAACAAGAAATTTAGGAGATTATCAAGAAATTTAGGTGATACTCAAGTAACCTATCTCCTCTGCACCCCTTCCCACGTAAGGAATTGTAAGAATAGACGCCAGATCTAATTATGAATTATCGCGTAACTCTAAAGCGTAGTGGTTGATATATGTACCACCTGATTCAACATTCAGTAATTGCATTTTGCACACAAGAGGGTGTTTATGGGTTTTATATTAATCTCATAATAAAAAACTATAATTCCTTAAACAGTATTAACCAGTTGATTGTTATCATGGAGAATGTGTTGTGGTGTAGTGTTTTCTCTGAAGTAGGAACTGAATTTTTAATTATTTAGACGAACTTTGGCTTCAACACGCAAGTTTAAAGCTTGCTGGTAATAGGGCTAAGATCCGAACTTCTTAAATGAATCTGTCCTACAGCAAACACTAAATTTCCCTTTCATTCATCTACTTACCACACTCGCTAGTTCGAGACTATTCTGCTAGGGAACAGCTGATTATTGTAAATTATTGGTTAACGTAAGCGAAGTGTTCTGTCCCCTCACACCCTCTCTCCTCACCTGGCCAGGTGTTGGAAACGCATGCGGGCCTACAATATGATTAAATTTGAGGTCGTGATGATACAATTGGCCTCACGAGCTGTCTGTCATAATACGTACGAAAACAGTGAACTATATCATCGTGCACCAAGTTCAAAACTCATTGCTATCCTCACGTTGACTTCAGACGGACGTGTTTTTAAGGGCGTCTCTATTTATGGGGTTACCTTTAAGCCCAGGTTTGTACCAAATGAACGGATGTACAAAAGCTCATAGAGGCGTATTTGTGATGTTGTGTCTTCAAGGGAAATTACGAACTGCTTTAATATCTTGTACTTTTGTCAATTCTTAACCAGTTCAGGGGATTTTAGTGTGCTGCTGAGAGCCCGAAAGGTAAATGGCTAATGACTGGACGATTAGATTTCTATTCCCGACAGAGGCAGAAATTCTTCTCTTTGCTACCACATCCAGACCGGCTCTACACCAAACCAGCCTCGTCTTCAACGGAAAGTGTGAGAAGTTTTACTTGTGGTAAAGAGGCCGAAGCGCGAAGCTGTTTTCACTTCTATCTGGTGTATAGATTAAGAATGCATAGAGCTGTACCTCCACATTCTTAAAAGTCTTCATCGTGTGGTGCATAAGGACAACTGTAGTACTATGGTGTATTGAAGAAATATTTTGTGAATGTGCGGTTATGATCAGATCATGTTATGTTAAAGAACCAGTGGTAAAATACACGTGTTTTAATTAATATGTGGTATTAAAATGCATGTACTGTTACTTACAGAAGACTTGATATTTTGTGTTGACTACTAATGCTTCTAGGAACTATGACAAATCTTGACCATAACTTGGCACTGCTGTCTCCATGTATGTTCGCGAATGAAAACAGTTCTGTTGATATCAGGCACTCCCAAGAAGCGCCTGCATCTTGTACCTGGTGCCATAATGGTAAGACGACCTCGAATATCAAAACTGACATTGTGGCATGGTCGAGTCCTTCAGTATCAACAAGTGAACCACCACCATTACACGCTTCAACAACAGAAAAGTACTTTTGGAAGTCTTCAAATTTTCACGAAAGAGAATCAGTGGCTGATGACATTACTACTAACTGTTGCGGTGAAAATATCTCAAAAATATCTGGAGAAACGAATATAACTTGTTGGAACAGTGACTTGTTACTGGACGATGAAGACACAACAGATGTGAGTGTAGAGGAGTCGAGCCAGTGGAGCGATGTTTTGTTTGCACACCCGGACGACAGCAGGGGCACATGTCCAGAAAGGAGGAGCACATCTCGGGCGAAGACGACGAAGGTCTCTACGGCCACGTACAAGCACGTACCGCACCGCGACAAGCCCCCGCAGCTGGTAGCACGTCGAAACGCTCGCGAGCGGCGCCGAGTACAAGCTGTCAACTCTGCTTTCAGTCGTCTGCGTAAAGTCGTGCCCATCGAGAACAACAGGTACTTTTCCACGACTGTTCTACAAAGTATCTTTAACGACTAGGGCAGTAACCGATCCCAGCGGATTCGACCAGTACTTGAATGTTTGCAGGAAGGAAACTTAAATTCCAATTATCGTTTTCATTGTTATACCCCGCTAATTAGGATTGTTTCCATGGGCTAATTCCCAATACTGATGAAACACCTGATCCAATCCACACCTTATCAACCTTTCCCTCCAAGATAGCAAATGTCGATCTACACCTAGTTCTCCCAAGAAATCAACTTCCCAGAGGTTTTCTAGCCAAAATTATGTGCGCATTTCTAATTGTCCTCATGTGTGTTACATTCCCCACCAATCACATCCTTTATTAACTTAAAAAAAGGCAGAGAGTACAAAGTATGAAGCCCAACGTCTTGGTAACAAGTCTTATGTTAGCCCGTAGGTTCTTCCACGTAATCTGTATCGTTGACACATGGGAGGTTCTATATGACAATGTTCGCGGCAAAATATCTCAGTGAATGTGTGTATAATGTCTCAGCTCCGGTCAGCATCTCCCGCTGAAATGTGTAACCTAAATATTAAAACACCCGCTTTTCTTTGCATCTATGCTGAATTAAAAGGCAGGATACCCCTGAACATCCAGGCAATGCGGGCTGCACTGTCGGAGGTCATTAATACATGTTCCTGGCTTCTGCCCATGGTGTGTGGGTGTGAATCTACACAAACAGGCGGTAAATAGGAATGCGCACCAAGTTTATCCGAACTTTTACTCGTTTGCATGATTGAATATAGAACAAAAACCACGGCCTACCGTTTCAGCAAGTTCACGAAAGTCGTAGCTTCAACAACTTAAGAACGAATTTTAACACAAATAAAGTGGTTTTACATTTTCAAGAAGTTAAATAATAACAGTGACTGTAACGAAATGATGAATAAGTAAAGAATTTTAGTCGGAAAACCTGGAGGGAAAATAACACTTAAGATACCGATGCGTAGATTACAGGGTAAAATTAAAATGAAGCTTTTGACCGTCTAAGCGACTACTAGTTTCTGAAATACTCTGCTCTATGTAATCGGTCAAAGAAAAACATTAAAATGTCCAGTTGGTATTACGAAGATAATTTTATCTGAAGCACTGCACACCGTGTGACGGATTAAGCGATGACAATACCTGAAGTTGGCCGAATAGCGTAGTTCGAAAGGCGTCGCTGAGTTTTTAGACTTTGATTTCTACTGACGTTGAAACTATATTGAATTTACGTAAATAAGAAAAGTATTCTAAATGATGAAACAGTTAGCTTATATGTACTATGAGGCTACTGTAAGGAAATCATTGAACATCGCAGCGAAGAACTTAGCAATCCTGCTGAGTATTCGGGAGGTCCTAGGCTCGAATCTCGTCCCGGAGAGCTATCGTTCAATGCTGCATAGTCTGAGCTACTGACAGGAGAAACATTCAAGTGAAGTACACTGATAAATACAACAATAACGAATATCAGAGTCATCTGACAGAGAGATGTGTTTTCACAGAAGCATGTGCTTGCATCTTTAGGACTTGGGACAAATAAGATTCTATGTTGCGCCGTGTAGTTTGATAGAAATTGACAGACATGTCAGATGGGTGTTCTACTTCCCTCATCAAGGCGCTGAATAAGTTTCTGCCAGACTAAATGTCGCAACATCTCAGAACACTGTCATCATCATACGTATCTCAGCGAGAACGTGAAATATCACAACATAAGATTTAATTATAACTGTTTCAGCAGTCTAGAGGCTTAATTAACCATACTGTCGATATTCGGCATCTCGTAATTTATGTTTTTAACATTTGTTTCTATTTCACGTTGTTTTGTTACAGAGGGAAGCGTGTAAGCAAAGTGAAGACTTTGCACAAAGCCATTGAGTACATCAACCATTTGCAGGATCTTCTGATCCAATGTGATCCGACGCAGACGCTGGTAAGCTGTGCTACTACAGTCGATCCTTCGATTTCTGAGGTGGGATGGGGGTAATAGTGGTTTCAAAACATGTTTCGGAATGTAGTATGTTATAGAAAAATATCACACGTGTGAACACGTAGATACGCTATGCAACATTTCTTATTAAAACATCATTAGTCTGTGCTTTAGTTGGTGGGATAGATAAATTGTGTATGCTTTTATCATCACCAGAACAAATTTAATCTGCCTCTCTTACATACTCACCCTTGTATATCTAGACAGTGTGGACATAAGACTCTCTGTAGAATACCAATACTAATATGAATATTTAATTACTTTGTAGGGTTATGGGAAGAAAGAAACAATATTAATTAACTAATTAATTAATTATTCTATACGCAGATGCCAAACAGTAAGGATCCGAACAAGGAGAATGCAGGGCAATCAAACAACCGTTGGCGTCATGGTAACACATTCGACTCAGTTAGTATAATTCTAATCATGTTTAAACGTAATTATAAACTTATATTATCAATATTTAAGAGATCCCATTCCTGTACATAAATACAATCGCCACGTTGAAATTTTAAGAAATAAATTCTTCACATATCAGAAAATAAATAGATAAATAAAGGTGTGAAAATTAAAGGTGGAAAATGTTGACATTTGTTTCAGGAGGTTTCGGGTTTAAATCTCGGCTAGGAGGCCGACTATCCAGGCTGAGGATTTTCCTGATTTTTCTCAGTATCTGTAGGCAAATTCCGGAATAGTAACTTTAATAATGTTGTGACCGCTTCCTTCCGCATCCTTTCAAATTCATTATTTATTAGTCATCGTATCATTCAGTGCTATATAATTTCAATTACTGACAGTGTCGTTAAATAACCACAAATACATAAATAAATTCAACGAATTTTACAAGTCTATTGAGGTAGTTTTCCGAAAGTGGATTCTTCTAAAAACGAAACACTGCAGTTAAACATATTTCATTGAAATGACAATGAATATCTCTAATGAGAAATCATGGAGTTCATAACCAAATCTTTAGGTATATTTATGTATTTCAATAGTACTCGTAATGAAAGAGCGAACACCACATAAACGTTGTCACTTTATGTTTTCAGGGTTTTAGGACTGGAGGAAGCCACGATGATACCTTGGAGGATTTTCTAGAAGATTTTGAAGATGACATCTAGTAATTCCTCCACTTAAGTAGGGATTTATTCATTCAACAGACTATACTAAGAAAGAAATCTAGTCAGTTATGTAGCGCTACATGTAATATAACTTATAACTGTATTGTTCCACTTATATTCGTTGTTACAGTACATAATTACGTTCCATTGCGAAGTGCAACTATAAGAATAACACCATTTTCTTAGTACAAGAAGCTAAACTTTGACATGACATCAATCTGTCACTCTGTCACTTAGGCCAAAATGTTTTATTCAGAGCCCTGTTCACAAAGAACACTTTATAGCAGATGAATCTAAAAATAAATAAAAAATAATTAATTTTATGATTGGGATAGCCTTTTTTTCGGATGTATAGGCCTACACGAACGCTTTGCATCTGCAGCTTATTGCTTCCGTTGTGAATGAAGTTACATCGTATTTGCCTAACGAAGCTTCCATAAGAACATGGCTGATAAGGCAAGCCCTGAGCTCGTAATCACAAAGTGCTGTCAGCAATGAGGGCACCCTGACCAAATGTCACGGGGAAAGGCACCAGTCTTGAATAGTAAGATAGTTATGCCGCACACAAGGTCAGCAACCTAGAATTTTTCCGGGAAGGAAAACGAATTAATAAATCAATAAATACGCAAGTAATTTACTAAATAAGTAAATTACTGAACAAATGAGTCAATGAAGAAATAAGTAAATAAACAGGTGAGTAAATGAATATATAATACACAAATAAATAAGGAATGATGCATAAAGAAATACAAATAAAAGAATGATTTTTCTGCGAAGTGGATTGCATACGTATATTCAGTGCACCTGCTAAAAAAAATAATATAATAGGTCTAGGCCTATTGGCCAGTCCCCATGACTTAGCACCGTTTTGATAAGCTATATTCCTGCCTCAGGTCATATGAACTTATGTGTCATTGTGGTGCAAACTTATTTCTAATGAGAATGTTTTTACGTTAGCGGCAAAGTAACAGCAGTGGGATAATTATAAGATGATGACTTCTTACGCAACTCTGTTAAGATTGATTGAGAGTGTAGATCGCATGGAGGAGAGTACACGTTCTGGAACTGAATTACTGAATAACAAGTCCTCTTGGAAAACGAATTCACATTTAATTGTTTTTGTGTGGAATATATGTAATTGATTTATGTTTAGGTTCATTTTATTGAGCGTTCAGTGCCCTTGTATACGATTTCTTTAAATGCTTGTGTCAAGGCAGTCATTCGAAATTAGCATGGCTCGTACAGTTTACCTCAGAGCAGTATTAGCCATATAATTTCTCACATTGTAATTGCGTTAAAGTTGTTATTTTCACGTCATCATTTTGTTTACAATCTATTTTTAACACACTACATTCAGAACAGGAGACTGAATCTTACGCCTGTTCTGCATGTAGGTATGAAACGCCATGTTTAGAACGTAATTTCAATTCTACTTATCAGATGTCGTTCATGTCTCTACTTTCCCACAATTCCTTCTCCTAGATGACTCTTGTCTGTTGTTTCGAGTGTCAGTTCGTGATTGGTGTCTTGTTTATCAAAATTTTTATATTTCTGCGAAGTTTTCCTTTATGCCTGTGATCTCTTCGTTCTGACATTATTAATAAAAGTGCATCCGTTGGTGTAGCAGTGGTGATACAAGCATTTCAAGTAAAAAACGTAAGTTTACCAACATCAGCCACGTGGTTTCGTTACGTTTTGAGATAACATAACCTTTCTTGTCACATTCTTTAGTTATTTCTCGTTTAGTTTCTTCTGTTGCACTTGAGTGTAGAAGCAGTAGTTTACATTACATTCTTCAAAGGGAAGTGTTTAGAATGGCGAAGTAGTGAGTCTTCGTTCTTCCCCCGCTTTTAAAATCTGTCGATAACTTGAACTTGCAGAACCAAATGGTTTCCTTCTGCCTTCAAACAATCCATATTTAAGGAAATGTGATAAAATTTGTCAACATGACGTAATCTCTGTCATAAAGATAAACGCTTGTAAAATAACAGAAGGGTAAAAACTGTAATAAGGTGACCACAAGGTTATCTAAAGTTTTTGCAATTTTCATTATTGATAACGGATGTGTGAACTCTTATCGTGTGTTTAGGAATGCTGGATTGGTAAGGATGTGGGGGAAATCGTGTTCGTTTATATATACGTTCTGTTCCTGACAGTACATAAAGGAAACTCGATGTACTTTACGCTCGTTGTGTCGTTGACTCCAGGTTTTTATTATTTTTTCCCATACATTTTTATCAGTTTTCATTCTGTATGTTCATGTTTCAATGTCAGCTCTTCCTTTCATTTTTGCACGTCTGTTACATTATGTACATGGATTCAAGCTCTCGCCACACAAGGGAGGAATTAAAGCAGGGTCAGAGTATAAACAAAAGTATATAGGAACTTCTTGATTTGTATTGATGTGAATCTTTGTATCCCGCTCTGGAGAAGAAAAAAAAGTTTACCATGTGTTATGGTGATCAAATCAAGGGAAAAATGAATTTTAGTCCTAAACCTAAAGGGAACTTAAGATGGCATGCAACCAAAGTGCTACAAAACGCAACTACCCACCATATATGTCTTAATGAAGGTTGCATATTATTCGAAAAGCTCTTGCCATGCATGTTTTCAGGACCCTGTGCTAAGTGGCGTTAATGCAGCTCGCATCTCACAAGTTTTCTCATCCGCCATGTTGTTACTACCGATTATAGACTTAAAAAACAAGAGTTTAGTGTTGCCTATAATGGCAAATCTCTTTAAAATCATATTTTAAAATTTGGTGTGGATACTATACCCACTGCACGGTTAATTAAGAAGCGTGAAATAGTTTTTACATATTATATCATATTTTACATAATACCATGTATAGAATTCTGATCGTGATTATTCGTAAAATCGGTCATTGGTGTCGGAACCTCGTGAAAGTAGGAAATAGGCTGCACGTATACTTTCGTGATGCAGAATTTGGTCTGAGCACGAAGTATCGACTGTAGGAATTACATCAGTTGGTTGCTCGCCATCCATCACTGCGATATTGAGTGAGCGAGCTAGTGTGTCCGTCACGGAAATGAATTGGGCTCCTTAAGATGGTACCCACGTCTTGGTTTTCTTCAGTTTCTTCAGACGTATACTTCTTTTAACTAAAATCATGACTGCACGAGATCATAATCCTTGTTGGATAAAGACGATCTTAGCTTATTTACGAAATTGAGATTCTGTCCACCCATCTACTCACTCATCCACCTATCCACCCCCATTTATTCACTAATTTTCCCATCCACTCAACCACTGACCCCTAAACCCATTCTGTCTCTCATTCATTCTACCATCAATCACAACCCATCCTCCTGCCAGCCAAACTTATGCTTTGCAGTTGATGAATTGTAGTTAAATGAAAAACTACGTATGTCTGCATGAGTGACATCGAACACAAACTTCGAATCATACGAGTACTTTGAAATACCAACTTCAGTTAATTCACATAAAGTAATTTTGAAATTTATAGAATATGTTACACGAGGTCGAAACAGTGCAATCCTTAGTTCAACAAAAGAAAATCCAGATATATCGAAGTAAACGTGTTTTGTTGTCATGACGGCATTGTCACATCTCCTCATGCGAGTTACATTCTGGGTCGTTCTCATCTTCCTTGATTTGAAGAGTACAAGTTATGTAGCTTATTTTCTCTCTCTTCGGCCAAAATCTTCTCCCCACCAAGATTCTAGACCTTCCCTCTGTGAAATATTCAGATAAGCAACCATTAAGTGCAGTAATTAAAGCATCAATGAAAGGATTTAAGATTTATTGCTGTGTGAGGAGTTATAAAGTAATATTATCGCTGTGCTACTTCAACGCACATCGTTGTCTCGACGTGAATTTCTGTCTTGTATGTTCGTTGTTGGAAAGAATCTCACGACTAATATATGGCCCTCGGGCTTTTAGCTGTAAAAAACTTGCTTCTTATACTTCAGTACGTCATACTTTATCTCTAACGTAACTTCCTTACACTTTTTATTCATTTACCTATCGTTGTTTAGCTTTCTTTAAAAATAATAGCAGTCGTCCGGTAGCGATCTTGGTTACACTTGTTAGCTTGGATAATAATTTCCTTTCAGCATCGTGAGTCTCAAATACAAGCTCTAAAAATCAATTAATTAAAAAAACATGAGTTTAGACGGAAGAGGAACATCCATTTTTATTACAAGTCAGTTCACATCCTCCGATAACAAAAACAGCTTCAAACACCGGTAGACAGAGATGGAAAAAGTCAAGAACTGGAAGTTGTGAGTTTCCAGATATATTTGATGAAGTTTCCTTTTAACTGTGAAAATCCAGCTTTTTGAAACTTTTTTCATTTTATCGATCATGGTCTTATAGGTTGAGATGACGTGTGATTGGTGGTTACCAGCGTTGCAGTGTGAAAATTGGGGTGGTACGTTCCTCCGAAACGCTGGTAACCACCTACTGACAGGTGTATATGGCATTACTGCTCACAAGACAAACATCGACATGTTCATCCCGTCGGAACCTCTGATCTCACTTAAATACAAGAATTCTCTTTAAATACGAAATGCCACGTCTGCTGTTCATTATCTCATTACATAATCCTGATAATATTAAGATTTACAAATTTGCCAGAGGACAAAACAGTCAAGGTGGCCATAGCCGATAAATCCCCAGAACTTCTGTAGTGGGATTTCCAACGGCCATACCTTCAAAAAAAAATTAACCTTCTATTATGGAACAACAAAATTCTTTACCATATTCATTAAAGCCCATTACAGGAACCTGCACTGAGCCAATTACATCCAATCCATATCCTCACATTACAGGCCATTTTCTTTAATATTAATGTTAATATTATCCTCCTATCTACACCTTTTTTTCTGCGTGGTCGCTTTCCAGCAAGTTTTCCGAACACAATTTTGTACGTACATCTCCCATGTATGCCAGATGACCCTCTCATTTTTTGCCTTCAATAACATCAAACTGATTCCGTAATGTGAAGAATGTGTCCTAAAGTAACATACCGGAAAATGATTTCAGAACGAAGTTACCCACTTCCCCTACTCATATCGACACTGAAAACAACACGCAGACCACAAATAATAATACGAAAAAAATAACATTACTGTTTTATAATACATGTACTTTGTTGGTACTCTGATAGCAAGATTTGCATTGTTATACGGGGGCATTTAAAAAGTGAATATTTTTCTTATTTTGAACATTTGACCTTTCGATCTCTTCGGGCTCTGGATTAAAATACTGAATTCTTCAGACACGCTCGTTTTGTCTTAGTTGTTTTGTTGGCCCAGGACAGGGTCCGGTGGAGGGCTTTAGTTAATTCGTTGATGAACCTTCGGGTTCGGTAAGCCATCTAGTTAGTTAGCTGGTTTTATCTACCATCGTAAGACGAAATATCACTGAGAAACATTTGAGTACCAATGAGATTCCAATGCACGAATCCATACCACACACCTACATTCCAACCCAATTATACTGTAGCCACCGAATCAGTGAAGCAACAGTTAAAATCAGTCCATGGCTTCAGGCGCCGTCATGTTCTTACTATACGCTCTAAGAAGGGATCTTGAACAGAGGATGCATGTATCTGTGGACCCACTCGAAATCATTTACAAAACAGAATGCTATGACTCTGTATCAACTGGTAATCCCAACTCACAACTGAGAAGTTTACATGCAGCCATGATGGTGTTATTTTGAATCTATAAACTTGGGTACAATGATGGGGAATAAGAAACTACAAATGTGGGGTCTCTTCCAGTGGTTTGACTTTCACGCCAAGTTTAATCAAAATCTGTCAGTTCGTTAAAACATTATGAAGAGACACACGCA